GGTTTTTTGGTTTTTCTCCGGTACCGGGAACCGAACTCACGACCTTGCGCTTGCCAGGCAGGCGCTTTTGCCACTGAGCTAAATCCCCAGCCCCATATATATTCTTTTAATGAAAAAATAAAACAAACTTTCATAACCATATAATAAGAGAATAACAATGGCAATTACATGGTATATCATTACCTTCAAATTACCCAGTATAAGACATAAACCAAAAAGAGTCTTACAAAAAGAAGCAAACCGGTAATAACACATACTTTCTTTCCAATGAACTAAGATAAACTATTAGTATCCATATGATAAAATTTACCACGTGAGCCACTTTAAGGGTACAGTTCACATCGCTGTGCAATTAATCTTCAGAACTCTTGCAAAAGAGAAACTCTGCCCTATAAACAACAACTCCCGTTCTTTCTTCTCTTAGCTCCTGGCAACTGTCGTTCCCCATTCTGTCTCTATAAATCAGACTGCTCTAGGTCTCCCTGATAAGTAGACTATACAGCACCTGGCCCTTGTGACTGTCTTCTCTCAGTTAGGTAATGTTTTCCCAGTCCGCCTGTGGTACAGCGCGTGTTGCTTTTGCTCCTTGCTCAGGCCGACTGACACTCCTGTGTACACATGTACCAGGTTTACCCGCTCATCTTCTGCGTGTACCTGACGAACAAGCTACTGTTTATAATGCTGCTTTGACCACGGGGCACAGATGTCTGTTTGAGGTCTGCTTTCAGTTCCTTTGGGTATACAGGCAGACGTAGAATTGCTGGATCACATGCTGATGCCACAGTTTGCTTTTTTTTTTTTTAAATTCACATTTAGCTTGTTAAGGAAAAACATCTCCACAGTGGCTTCAGTATTTCACATTCCCAGCGACAGTGCAGGAGGTTCCAGTTTCTCTAACTAACACTTGCTATTCTTCCCTCCTCCCCTCTGTGCTCCTTCCTTCTTTCCCCCCTCCCTCCTTGCTTCCTTCCTCCCCTCCTTTCTTCTTTCACTCCCTCCTTCCTTCCTTTCTTCCTTCCGTCCCTCCCTCCCTCCTTCTTTCGTTCCTTCGTTCCTTCCTTCCTGAAAAGAGCCCTCCTAAAGGGTGTTCAGATTTTGTCCCTTTTCTTTGCATATGAGCTCCAGCCTGTGCTCTAGACTTATTTATAGAAAGTGCCTCTGCTGGTAGCAGGCCATTGTCAAACGCTGGACACACGGTGAGCCTCATGGATGGGACCAACCTCTAGGTGGGTATGGAAAGCATGGCTTGGGGCTGGGGATTTAGCTCAGCAGCGAAGCGCCTGCCTGGCAAGTGCAAGGTCGTGAGTTCGGTTCCCGGTACCGGAGAAAAACCAAAAAAAAAAAA